GTAATCCTCCGGTGGTCGTTGCGCTGGAACCCCCATCCCCTATACTACTACTTTTTATTTAATATCAACGAGACCCACAATGCACTTTAGCCTTGGGATGCACTATTCAGTATGCAGTATTCAGTATTCAACCTTTTTTTGAAATTATAGCTGTAGATGGCAAACCAGATCATGGTATGCACAGAATTCCAGGATCGAGGAGGAAAGCGTGGGTGGGGTTGTTACTGCAAAGGCATGCAACTTACAGGTTTACAAAATTACTCTTTTCTTATAATATTTCTTAAAACTCCGGGGGAGGGGGGAGGATGACTGTAGCCAACCAATCCAAGCCCCTAGATCTTGCCTTGATATTCACCTCCACATATATTTTCTAAAATTCATAGCCATAAAGCTAGATAAAAGGTAGTGGCTTAGAAGTGACATCAAATTAAAATAGATCAATTTGAAGGAGAAAACAAAAAAAAATCTTCTGAGATTTGGAAACCTATTGTTATGTGCTGAAAATTAAGACAAATCATAAAAATAAAGGCCCAAAAATGATAACAAAATCTTGAATTAACGCACCTGATCGAGCATTCCAAAATTTCCTTTAACATCAGTGCCAGGAATATTAAAGAAACCAAGTACACCAAGTCGGTAGTTGATTGTTACTACAATAACATCGTGGTAAGCTACTAGAACAGATGGGTTATAGGATGATCCTGATCCACCAACAAAGCCACCTCCGTGGATCCACACCATGATGGCAAGCTTGTCTTTTGATGTGGCTTGAGATGGAGTGTAAACATTCAGAGTAAGGCAGTCTTCATCTTGGGGTTCTAGAGAAATAGGTAGGGCAATTAGCAATATTATGGTTTCGGTTCCCATTTCTGACCAATTGAGCATTATTACCACAGGTATCCCAATAATACAAAACCGAAAATAGAAGGGTATATATACCCCTTACCGCCAATAATTACCAGGGTAGCAGAGTTTGAAGCAAAAAAAAGTAAAATTGCAATTCATATGAGAGCAAATGCTATTTAATATTCAAAAGCTTGCAATCCAACACAGTATACTTCTTATAAAATATTCGTACTAAATGATATTTCTACTCCATAAATGTTAAATAAGCTGAAACTTTGCCTTTTCTCTAACATCGAATTGCTATTTCCATTCTCGGGGTTTACTTTAATATAACTCCTTAATTTGAAGGTATTAAGGAGGGTCACGTGACCTCTTCTATTCCTCGAAGGAATAAGCTAGACGAAGCTAGTTGAATCTAGTTTATGAATAATTCCCCAATAATAATAATATACTATAGCTACAAAGTATACTCGGGAATTGTTTATGGAAGTGGGATAAACATATTACATTGTTATCAGTCAAAAAAAATAATAATAAAATAAATATATTTATTTAAGTGTCTAGTCGTTCTAGCGCTTTCACACTAAAATTGGGGACACTTTTCGCTCACACACACAATATTATACTTCATTCAATATTCTATGCACACAACGCGAATGCCACCCATTACTCTTTGTGATGCAAGAGTCGGCTGAAGTCTAGTCTCCTCCACAGCCGCTTTCAGTGTCGTCACGCAAGCTTTCTCCCCTGAGTAAGGGGAGAAAGCGTTGCGTGACGACACTGAAAGCGGCTGTGGGGGAGACTAGCTGAAGTCACGCCATTCTATCTTATTTTTCCACAAATTATTCATCAGTAGAAACGAATTTTGACTACAATTTGAGATAGAAAAAGTGATTAGAACACCCTAAACAACAATTAAACTCATTTTAAAATACGTTGCGATCGAGTTTCGTGTGTTAAATGCATAATAAATGGCCGGCGCTAAAAGGTTACTGTAAGACTCACCTTCCTCGATAGTTATATTTTCCGGCAAACTGAAAAACTGCTTCATTAAAAACTGTGGACATATTGGTCCGAATTTCACCGCCTCTTTCACTCCATTCCAAGGTTTAGCAGGTTGTGGGCGAGCAAATCTTAGCTCACCGACTGGAGGTTCTGCATACGGTATACCAACAAACTGCTTCACAGATAACCCGTGGATTACATTCTGTAAGCGACCACGAACTGAACCAGCTGCTGTGTCTACAACAAGACTATCATCTCTACCTGAGCAAGTCGAGTAGAGACCAATGAAAATGACTACGATCTGAGCAAAAATACGATGCATTTTGCGATCTTTGCAGATGTGACCGGGATTACTTTAAGCTAGGATTGGATGCGTGATGGATACCGTATTCTGAAAGGTCATGCAAACTGCCCGTGTTGACCATATTAAAAATATGACATCATTGCTGACATCAGAATTAATTATGATGTATGTATAAGCTGTATCCAAAATAAAGATATATCTTGCATTAATTATAAAATTAAATATTATAAAAAACCCTGCTAAGTTACAATAATACAGGAAGCAGGGCCGATTGCTAAAAGTTACGAATAAAACTTGCAACTTTTTTTGTAGGCACAAGTTTTAGGTCACCCATCCAGGTACTAACTTCGCTCATCCGGACTTGACTCAGAGTCATGATATGAAGCCCTAGTTTTATCCACTGGACCACGGTTC